GTAAGTAATTTATGGAATTAAGTTTATTATTTAAAAAATATGTGTTTGATTTACCTAAATACTTGTTTAATACTACCTCCGGTCCTTAATATAAGACCCTATTTGACTTTTATTTTGATCCTAAATATAAGACCCCAATCTACTTTGTCTCTCATATTTACTCAATTTTTTTCAAGATAGTCCTTCTAATAATTATAGTTCTAGTTAATACACTTGATTAGCAAAGATATTTTAGGAAAGATAATACCTATTTAGGACAAATAACTAACTTAACTTACTTCCTTAATCTCCTCAAATTAGTTAATTGGCTCTTATAATTAGGACCGGAGGTAGTAATTCTATTGAAAACTATCACATTAATAGCATGACAAGAAAATTATAAATTTGACAGATAAAATATATTAAATTTTTATATTTAGAATTAAAATACTCTTTCAATTTAAATGAGATCTAGACATCAGATCCTTGTATTGTGGATGTATCGCCTAATCTAATACTCCTCCGGTCCTTAATATAGGACCCAATTCTTAAGTTGGTTTTGGTCCTAAATATAAGACTCATTTCTCATATTTATCAATTATCTCTAAATTACCCCTATAGATACTCCCTCAACCATAATCAAATAGAAGAGGGAGAGGGGGTATTAAAAAAGATGATTATGGTGTTTTAGGAAAAATGTGTCACTTTTCTTATAATTAACTAATTTACCTAACTTCCTTAATCAAATCAAATTAGTTAAATGGGTCTTATATTAAGGACCGGAGGAGTATAACATTAAGGCTAGGTTTGGATGGAAGAAAAAATAAGAGAAAAATAATGAGAGAAAAGGAAAAAAAAACCGGGAGAAAAATAATGGGAGAAAATATTGCGAAGGAAAATTTTTTGCAATACTAAAAGGATTTATTATTTTTAAAGTTTTCTTTTTGGGTGTTCTTTTCTCTCTATATTTTTCACATCCAGACAACGATGGGAATTTTCAATCCATTACGCACAAACTTCTCGGTTGAGGATGTGGACCAGTCCAATATGGAGGCCGATGCATGCCGTTCCACTGTAAGTCTTGAGTTCTAAATAATACTACCTCCCACTCTTAATATAAGATATATATGTATATATAACTAATTTATGAAACCACGAACTCTCTTAATATATGTAAACAATAAAAATAATTTGGGCAAAAAATTATGAATTTGCAGGGAAGAAACAGAGTAATTATTATTCCTCCAAACCCCATTAGCAAAGCAATGGGTACATGAAAGCATCAACACCATCTTTTCAGCGCGGGCCACACATTTTATTGGACGTTGGTTAAGCAGAAACTTTCACATGCAAATGTAATTCTCCCATTGACTAGACTTCATAATTATTGTGCCCAAAAAAAAAAAATATACCCCCTCCAATTTTAAATGTGAGAGTTACGTAACTAATTTATGGAGTTAAGTTTATTATTTTAAAAAATGTGTTTGATTTACCTAAATCCTCCTTTAATAATTATATTGAAAACCACCACATTAATAGAAGTCCCCATGTCCTATAACAGTAATAGTGTAAAAAGAAAATTATAAATTTAAAAGATAAGATAAATTTTTTTTGGCCAAAAAAAAGATAAGATAGATTGAGTTTATATATTTAGAATTAAAAAACTGCTTCAATTCAAATTAGATCTAGAGGGCATCTAATAAATCATGAGTTCTTGATATTTATCAATCACTCATTTCACGTTAAATTAAAAAGATTTTTTTTCCCATGAGAAATTATTTGAAGAAAGCGGTGGGGTGGGATTTGATCCCACCATCCCCTAATTATTTGAGGCAACAAAAAAATATATATATATTGGGCCACAAATGATTTCTTAATATTATAATACAAAAAATAATACTCCTCCGGTCCTTATTATAAGACCCAATTTGACTTTTTATTTGGTCCTAATTATAAGACCCAATCCATTTTCTCTTTTATATTTATGCATTTTTTTCCAAGATAATCCTTCTAATAATGATAGATTTAGCTAATATACTTAATTAGCAAGGATATTTTAGGAATAACAACACTTATTTATTATAAATAACCAACTTAACTTACTTCCTTAATCTCCTCAAATAAGTCAATTGGGTCTTATAATTAGGACCGGAGGAGTATAAATTTATTGGGTCACAAATGATTTCTTAATATTATAATACAAAAAATAATATAAATTAAGTCTTTTACTCTGGTTTGACAACGATTTATCTGAAAATAACAAGTTTTAACTAAAAAATAAAAAGCCTAAATTTGAGATTCACAAGACTTTTTTCTAATACATAACATAAAATAACATATAAATAAATTAAAAATAATAATAATTTCTCTGAAAATAATAAGTCTTAACTAGAAAATGTCCAACATAAAATGATTATATTTTCTAGCACAATTTTTTTTTAAAGCCCGAGTGGACGCCGTTACAGACTACACGGCGGAGGCAAAGGTGAGTAAAGCCTCTTCAGTCTTCACAAAATCATTGCTTGCATTGGATAGTGGATACTCCGCTTCCAGCGTAGGCCACACGTTTTGTTGGACCCCAGTTAAGTGGAAGCTTTCCATTTTTGTTCCGACCGGAATAAGCTTTCATAAAATGTAATACTACTCCGTCTCTAATTATAAAAACTTTATAGTCAAATTGTGCTTTTTAATAAAACAGTTAAAATTAATTAAAAATAATTAATATTTAATAAATATAATTTTTTTCAAATATGCCCTTAATAAATATGAGAGAGTAATAATGACATAAATAGAGAGAGAATGTATGGAGAGAGAATTACATGAGAATTTATTAGGGGTAAAATAACAATACATTAAATGTTCAGACAAATTCAAAAGAGACCTTATAAAAAGGGACAAATCCATTCAAAAAAGGAGATCTTATAATTAGAGACGGAGGGAGTAGAAATATCCTCCTTTAATTATAAATTTAAGAGATAAAGTAAATTAAATTTTTATATTTGAAATTAAAATATTTTTTTCAATTCAAATTAGATCTAGATGAGTCTAATAAATTATTAGTTCTTGATATTTATCAATCCGATAAACACGCAAACCCATTTCAAGTTAAATTGAACCAACACAAAGAAACATAAAGTCAAGATAAGTAATGAGCAAAAAGAAACAAATAGAAGTCATAAAATCTGAAAAAAGATTGAGAGAAGGCCAAAAATAAAAGGGTGTGTTCCAAAAATTCACAAAAGTCATAATATTATATTATACTAAAAATGGTGAACGTGCTAAAATACTTATAAATTTTTACTCAAAATACACTCACCACTATAATCTTTTCGTAAGTGCAAAAGTACATATAAATTTGCAAGATCAGAGAAAAAAATAATATCACCGTTAAATTTGACTAAAGACCATTATTTTTTGCGGCAGGACCCACGTTAATGTTATGGAAGTATTAAAATGCCAATAATTCCAAAAAAAAAAATGAAGGTATAAAAATACTTATAAACTTTTTAATCAAGGTACGCCAAATATCATATGTTTTTTTACATTTGTAAAAGTACCAATAACCATACAAATGAATTAATTCTTCCAGTTTTAACAGATAAACTCTATTAAATTTTATTATACTATGATAATTAATGCTATTAATTTTATGGTTAATATATATGTTTAGTCTTTTAAATTTACATCAAGTTTTAATTTAGTCTTTTAAATACGGAAAGTATATTTTTAGTTACTAAATGTTAACATCATAGGTCACATTAACAGAAAATACTTACTCAATGAATTTAAACGATGATTCTACAAAAGTACCCATAAACGTATAAATAAATTAATTATTGTAGTTTTTTAAAAAAAATTAAATTTTATTATACTATTATACTTTTGCACCTCCGCAAAGGTTACAGTAATGGATGCACTTTAAGTAAAAGTTTATAGGCACTTTTATTACACCTTCACCTTTCAATTTAATTATAGTAACTGTGGTAATTATTCTAGTAGATGATCGGTTGGTGTTGGTGTTGGTGTTGGTGGGGCTTTTGCATTATTGCTCTGTGTATTGGTTCTCAAACCTTGTGCATTTTAAATTGGCAAGTGGGCCTCTTACATATTCCAATTTATTTTGTTACAGTACAAGCAGCATCGAAATATACTAGAACCCATCATTTTAATTGACCCTATCATCACTAACAAATATTAGAACCCATCATTTAACACAATTTCAAACAGCATTGACCCTATTACTAGCAATTACTCTATTCAATTTTTGATATAAGAACTAGTTAGGAGTTAAATTTAGTATTATATATCAGATCTTATTATGTTTATCATATTTATCATTTTTTTTCAAACTAATTTATTTATATTATAAATTGATATATATATAATCTAATACTCTATAAAAAATATTTTAAAAAGATCATGTCATGTTTATTATAATTAAATAATTTATTTATTTTTAATATATTTAAATTAGTAAGTAGTTTTTATATTGAAAAATAGAAGTCAGTAACAACAATGTCCCTAACACTAATATGTGAAAGTTGAGAGCAACTCAATTTTGATTGGAACGTTCCGCCTAGCCACGTTAAGTAGGGGGAAGCTACCGAAAAGTAACAGAGCAATTGGCTTGAAGCACCATCATCTTTTACGCACAAACCATTCCCATGCGGAACAGTTACACAACTTACGCTCATTCACACACAATGGACCCTACCATTGAGGGTACGACCTTTCCCTGTAATTCATCGTATGAGGGACGGACAATGTCATTCACACGCAATGGATATGGACCCTGCTTTTTGTCGCCAAAAGAAAGGTGGTGGGGTTAGGATGGGAATGAAAATTGTTATTAATTCCAATGTGAAAAGGATAAAAGTATCAGTTACCGTGTCATTTGGCTTTGGAGACTTGAAAAAGTGAATAAAATCTAGCCGCTGCCATACATACTCCATCACCAGTTCACTTTTGCCATTTCTCAGCAAAAAAGACAGAGAGAGATACGAGAGAGTAATCAGAATACCATGTTTGCCATAGCTTCCCCATCATCATCTTCTTCTTCCAAGAAATATGATGTGTTTCTGAGTTTCAGAGGAGAGGACACTCGCAGATCTTTCACCAGCCATCTCCATACTGCCTTGTGCCTTAGAGATATTGAGACATACATTGATTATGAGCTCCCAAAAGGCGATGACATCTCCCAATCACTCGTCCAAGCAATTCAGGATTCATCCATCTCTGTGGTGGTCCTCTCTCAAAATTATGCCTCTTCAAGATGGTGTTTGAATGAGCTTGTTCAGATCCTTCGCTGTAAAGAGCACCAGGGACAGCTTGTTATTCCTATTTTCTACCAAGTGGACCCATCTCATGTACGCAAACAAGGGGGAGCTTATAAGGAAGCATTCGTAGAACATTTGGAGAAAAACTCAGAGAAGGTGAAGGAGTGGAGACAAGCACTTTTTGAGATTGCAAATCTAGCAGGGTGGGACTCCTGCAAGTACAGGTCACTCTTCATTCTCTAACTCCAAATATCTGAATCAAAGTTCTTACTTTTACTTATTACTATGATTGGTCTTCATATTCATATAAATTGCTTTTTTCTTTCCATATTATCTTATCCGACAACTAATTAACTGGCAGTGAATAATGATGTTGGATCATGTTCTGCAATACTCGTGTACATATGACATATAAACTTAATTTCTTTAGATTATTGTGTTTACATGGGAAAAAAATTATTTAAATGGTGTCATCTCAAACTTGGATACTTGAGCTCTGAAAGTTGATTTTTTAAATATTTTTCTTCTTTTCCCTTATCAGATGACAGTTGATTTTTTTTTCTTTTTTTCTTTTTTCTCCTGTCAGATGAAAATTTTTTTTTAAAAAAAAACTGTTCAATGTAACTTTTCTTTGAATTAATTGTCACTACGAATAACTCATATGGTAGAGTAAGTTATGTATACATTTCTTACGTTGGAATGAATCCTTCTTACTAATTTTGAAAATGGAGGAAAAATATCCACACAATTTTGATAAAACTTTGAAGAAATTTATCCTTTTTTTCAAAGCAATAATATTGTCATGTAAAACAAACTGTCATCAATTAGTTGTCACTTTATTTAATACATTATTTTTTAATTAATTTTCATTTGATACATTAATACTTTCTTCCATAATTCGTTTTCTTATATCAGGGATGAAGCAGAACTCATTCAAAATATTGTCACGGACATCAACAAAAAACTAAACCGTGGGTCCCCGACAACTGTATTAAAAAATATTGTTGGAATTGATAAAAATTTAGATCAAATTGAGTCGTTGTTAGAAGAATCCTCAACAATTGGGATTTGGGGGATGGGCGGGATAGGCAAAACAACAATGGCTAAGGTTGTGTTTGCCAAGCTCCGCTCTCAATTTGATAGGTGCTACTTCTTGAAAAATTTCACGGAAAAGTATGAAAAGCATGGATCGGAACATGTACGTGACAAACTCTTTCAAGAACTATCAAAGGATAAATCTCTTGAATGGCTCAGTTGTAGAAAGGTTTTGATTGTACTTGATGATGTTAGCAACACAAAACAGTTAGATGAGTTGACAAGTGAAGCTCCTCGTTTGGGAACTGGTAGTAAAGTCATCATAACAAGTAGAGATAAGCATGTGCTCAATGGAAGAGTTGAGAAAATACATGAGGCCGAGGCATTGAGCTACAACAATTCACTTGAGCTCTTCAGCCTCAAAGCCTTCCACAAAGATGGTTATGAAAGTGAATATGAACAACTAGTTAAAAGAGCACTTGCTTATGCCAAAGGCATCCCACTGGCCTTAACCGTTTTGGGTTCATTCCTTTATTCCAGAACTGTAGAAGAATGGGAAAGCGCATTGAGGAAATTAGAAAGGACACCCCATCCAGATATTCAAGCTGTGTTAAAATTAAGCTACGATGGACTTGATGATGAAGAGGAGGAGATATTTTTAGACATTGCTTGCTTTTTTAAAGGTAAACCTAGACAATATGTAGAAGCAATGCTAAAGAGCTTTGGCTTTCACACAAGCATTGGTTTGGGAATTCTTGTGGATAGGGCGTTGATAAGTCTTAGTCATGATGTGGTATGGATGCATGATTTAATTCAATCAATGGCTTTTGAAATTGTTCGCAAAGAGTGTAAGAATCCTGGAGGGCGTAGTCGACTATGGAATTCCGATGAGATCGTCGACGTTCTAAAACATAATCTAGTAAGAAAAATATTTACCTTTCTAATTAAACATTTGAAAACGAATGAAAAGAAATTGTTAATATAAAGCTATTTATTTATTTTCTTTTGGGCTTTTGTGTTGTTCAGGGAAGTGATGCAATTCAAGGCATAAGTTTAGATTTGTCTCAAATTGAAGAATTACAATTGAGTGCTGATTCCTTTGGAAAGATAACAAATTTAAGGCTTTTGAAACTCTATTCATTTGACCCTAGAAGATCGTGTGTTGTGAATCTTCCTTCAGGGCTTGAATCATTTCCCAATTTGTTACGGGCTCTTGAGTGGGGCAATTTTCCTTTAAAGTCTTTACCATTGTCATTCTGTGCTGAGAAGCTAGTTGAACTTCGCATGCCCCGTAGCCGCCTTCAAAAACTATGGGATGGCAAGCAGGTATAACATACAAATATGAGTCTTGTAACTTTTCTCTTTTTTACAATTTGATTCAAATTTAAGACTCTTGTTTCCTCTGTAATATTTCTCTTTTTAATTGTTGCAGGACTTGGTGAATTTAAGGAATATAAACCTTCAGAAATCCAAAAAATTGATAGAGTTGCCAGATTTGTCAACAGCTAAAACACTTGAATGGGTTTGTCTTAAATGCTGTAAAAGTTTATGTTATCTTCATCCATCCATTTTGTCTCTGCCGAGATTGAAGGATGTGGATCTTCGGCTTTGCAAAAACCTAAAGAGTTTGAAAACAGAGAGTCAATCAAAATCGCTCTTGCGACTAAATGTGGCTAATTGCTATGGTCTCAAGGAATTTTCATTCTCTTCGGACAAACTTACTTATTTAGATTTATGGACCTCAACAGTCGAGAATATAGACTTTTCAATGGGGCATATGGACAACCTTCGGCGTCTCTCTCTTAATGGTTTGAAATTAAAGAATCTTCCAATTAACGACATTTGTTGCATGAGATCTCTTGACGACCTTTGTCTTGAAAGTTGCACGGGAATGATTGACAAATCAAAGCTCCATAGCTTATTTGATGCTTTGCGATATCTGGTATCACTTTCTTTGGAAGAGTCATTCACATTAACGGAACTTCCAGACAATATCAAGCATCTCTCGAGGCTACAATATCTTGATGTAAGCCGTTGCAGATACCTTCAATCTTTACCGGAGCTTCCTCCATCCATTGCAAAATTATATGCCTACGGCTGCACATCATTAAAGACGCTACAATTCCTTCAATCTCCATTGTTGGCAGATGAAATAACGTTGGGTTCAGCACTCCGTTCCTCAGCTAGTTATCTCCAAAATCTTCGACATCTTTTTCTTGGTGGTTGTAAACAGTTGTGTGAACTCCCTGAAAGCATCGGCTCCTTATCTTCATTGTCTTCACTGGATTTGAGTGGAAGTATTGTAGCGAGCTTGCCTGCTAGTATCAAGTATCTCTCAAATCTAAAAGAAATACGCTTGACCAATTGTACAAGACTTCGTTCTCTGCCAGAACTGCCGCCATCCACAGAAACCGTCCTCGCCGGTGGTTGCATATCATTGGAGATTGTACCCATTTCAATACCTTTTGCACCACAATTGAAGTCGCTACTTCTGAGAGGTTGCTTGAAATTGGAGAACTGCTCTCTGTCTCATGTGACGGAAAGTACTTATTTCTTAATGAAGCGATTGGTGTACACAAACCAAGGCGGTGCTGTCTGTTACCCTGGAATAAAAGTTCCAAAGTGGTTTGGATCTAATGAGAGAACAGAGGCTTCCAACTGTATAACTATTGAGTCTCCTTCAGCCACAAACGACCTAATCGGCTTCATCTTTTGCTGTATTCTTTCTCGGCATTCCTATGACGATGACGTGCATTGCCAAATTGATTATGATGGTAAGCGGTTCGCATACTCAAAGTTTGGTTCTTATGCGAAAAAATTTTGTGATGATGAAAATTCGGAATCACGTCATGTTTTTTTGTGGTGTCATCCTGACCGATTCATATACTTCCGCAAAGCAACGGACAACCAAAGCACCAATTACAGGCCAAAGGTGTCATTTGAATTCTCTGTCGCCAAATTTGGAGGGAAGCTCGTTGATTGTGTGATTGAAGCATGTGGAGTCTGCCCAATATATGCCTCGAAATATCACGACTTCATTCAACAAATGGGACGGGAGCCAAACTTGGGTACCCAAAAAGAGTCCTGTCATTATGATGATGAGAATTCATTTCATGAAATGCTCCAATATGTTAGATTCTCATTAAAGCAAGGGGAATGTGGCAATTTTGAAGGAAGTACTATTCCAGAGTGGTTTACGTACAAAAGGTCAATGGCAGAATATGGAAAATTGTCTGTGAGTGTTCGGGGTATTCCAGATTTTGAAAACTTAGTAGGTTTCATTTTCTGCTTTGTCATACCTCACTTCTCCTCAAAAGAAAGGGATCAATGTCGCTCAACATGTAGATGCTATTGTTCGGAAGGGGGAGTAATTTGCTTCTCTTTGCAAGGTCCAACAGGATGGCACTATTTACTGGAAAAATTGAATCCATCTGATAATGTGTTTCTATGGTATGATCCCCTCTATTGTGAACGCATACTACACAAACAGCAAAGAGAGGGAAAAGGTTATAATGGGGAGCTTCAATTTGAATTTAAGTTCGGTAATGTCGAGATCAATGAATGGGGGTTTTGTTCTTATGATTGCTTGATCAAAGAATATGGAGTTCGGCCAATATATGTCTCAGAGTACACAAACTTCCTCCAACAAAAGAAACTGGAGGTAAGTGTGCCAAAAAGGAGGCATCAAAATATTAATGATGACCAGCATCAACTCCCTTCAATAAAGAAATTGAAGGACTCTTAGATATCATTCAATCTATTCCCCCGAATTCTGAGTCCAAGACATCTCATTATGCTGATGACTTGCTACTTATGCTGTCCCAATTGAATTTAGAATCTACAGAGCAATGCATTACTTGATCGGTATGTATCTCTCTTTTACAGTTCATCAATTAAGTTTGAAATTGTTTTACCATAGCTGCCCTAGGCAAATATAGATGATGCTTTTAAATAAAAATGCGTTATTAATTCTATTGATGTGTTTATATCCAATTATTTCCAAAATTAGGATTTTACTTTCTTGACATCTCAAACAACTACGCTGATATCTTTCTTGATGCAGAATTCCAGTAAAGCATAACATAATAGGAAACTTGGTATGTATAGCTTAGTTTCATTAGATACCGTGATTTAAAAACATTTGTTGGCGAAGTGAAATAACCAACCAAATGTTAAGAGGATTTTATTTATGATGAAAATGATTTATCTTCTTGTAATTTTGTTCTATAGAAAAACGAAACTATTTTTCACAAGTCCTTCTATTTTGCTAGATTTCTGTCTATTTACAAGAGAGTTCAACTTCTGCAAAAGTCAGCAGAGGCTAAGGAAAGAGTCTTCATGATTTAGCCACTTGTATTTGTGGGTGTAAATTGTGGTGGAGCAGTAGAGCTTTTATCTCCTCTGGATTTCATAACCAAGTACCGATCAAATGATGGGCAATGTGCTGTGATTGCAGCGAGCCGAGATTTGAAGGTAGTTAACAAGAAAATTAAATTCTTGAATTGATTTTTAGTTACATATCTTTCTTTCTGATGCAAACCGTCTATTCAGACATCATTCTCGGCCAAGAAAAGGTGACAGTAAAAGAAAATTTATTCATACTGTTCTTGGAGATAAAAGAAAATTGATGTTTGACATTAAGATGGTTAAGTCTCATGAGTTGGATATTCTTCTGTTTTCTTTCAAAATAATTTCTTTCTTCACTTTGTTGTGCTTGCTTTCTTTTTCTCTCTGCATTTAGAAAGTTTTGTACTGAAACAAGAATGTTTGCGCGTGACTTTGTAATTTGAAAATGATCTTCAATTTGTTATTAATTTAAATTGCAGATTTTGATATATAAGAGACACTGATTGTGATGTCCAATTATTAAAGCAATATGGAAAATAGGAAGAAACCAGAAGTAACTAATTACTGTGTCTTACATTTCGTTAAAAGTCGGTCATATTTATTAAATGGTCAATAACATACTGGAGAACGTAGCCTGAGATATTCTATTCGGAGGTATTTTATGAAATGGACGTGTACGTGCGATTATTGTCAATTTTAAATTCCTGTTTGTTATGGGGATTACAAGTTATAATACATTGTTATGTGCGGAAAAGTAATTAATCAATTAATGTGATTAGCACTCCCTCATGTTTTAATTTTTGAATTGGTTTGATATGATTCAGCTTGGGGTTGTATGAATATTAAAATGTTTTTTTAAACAAATTTTACTCCTAATTAATTCTATTATCTTAAGAAAAACTATTAAAAACTATCTTAAGAAAAATAAATAAATATGAAAAACAAAATTAATTAAAGTTTATATTTAGAATCAAATTAAATATCAAACTAAATCTTATATTACCCAGATGTAATAACAGTAAGTGCATGGAACCTAAACACCGCATATTTCCGTTGAGTCTCCAATAAGTTTACATTTTGTATTTGGGACGTCGAGGTTAAGTGGATGAACGATTTTTTGATATTTTTCATTCAAGGCCAATCACTGTTCGTTTATGGTAAGGATATGGACCTCCATTTAACAGACTTGCATTTCATGTCCTCACCCTCTCCGGGAACAAAAAAAAAAAAAAAAGAATCTAAAACAAACAGTATTCTTCCATTCCCTAACTACGAATGAAGCGGCAAAATAAATGAAAGTCTATACGTTTCCTGTTGTTAAAACCAGCATCACGAAATCATATTGGACCACAATTAAACATCACTAGTTTTATTCTCCTTCAGGCACAGATCATGTAACGCGCACATCCTTTAGATATTAACTGCATTCTTAGTATTTGCCATCACATATCAATCTTGAAATCTTTTAGCTTCACATACTCCATAATCAAATTAGAAGTCTTTGGTACAAATTTAGGGCATATGCGTCATAATAGAATATTATATTCAATCAAAGACTACAAAGACGAAGTGAAATTGCGACGTAGAAACCGTTAAACTGTATGCAATGACGAACCCGGTTTCTTTCATTATAAAATTGATTATACGTCTCAGATATATATGTCGTCAAGGTCAACCAATATGTAACAAGCCCATAATTTTAAACATACTTTCGAGAACAGTAATAAATCACTTCTCAAGAATCCTCGATTAGTGGAGTGGCCGGAATGGTATGATCCTCCAGTCTCGAGCTCAACAAATTGAAGGACAAAATCACTGTCGCTGACAAAGGAAAACTAAGACAATCCAAATATGGATGAACCCTTCCTGTTCTTGTAAACATCATTTCAGAAGGGTTCTTGTCAAATGTTCTCTAGCTGTAGCCCATGCTTGAGTTAACGTCTGCAATATCAGAATCTCACCATTAGATTGAAGATCAAAGATATCCAGTCATCAACATCCAAGATTTTTCAGCACATCAAAAGTCAAAAATGACCAGTGCACAATGAAACATAGCTCGCCAAAATGTGAATTCAATTTAAAAAAAAAAAAAACAGAGGCAGTTTGAGAATTGCATAACACCAAAGCGTAATAATTTAGCAACCTCCAGTCTATATGGCGACTCATGTGACTTTGCGGAGTAAAATGAAATAGGAAGCAAGGACAAAAACTAAACTGCAGTCACATCACCTGCTCAGATAACGGGGCGTCAGCATCAATGCTATGAGAGGTCACCTTTTCGGCAATAATAGATCCATTTGTTTCAAGTATCATCCTTAAAGGAAGGCGGTAACAGAGTAATCAGAAAATAATCAGAATTTTAATGAGAACGAAAAATTCTAACTAAGAAACACAAGCATACCCTCCATCAACAATCTCATCAAGACATAAAAGAATTAGATCCAAGTTCTCAAGCGCCTCCCTTTTGTCAACGTTGCTCCTGAAATTTGAAATTTTAAAAAGAGCTCATTTTAAATCTTGAATAACATGAGCAACAGGGCACTCATATTTCAATTGTTGAAGGCAAAATATAACCTATAATACCTCAACAAATAGGTGACTGCATCAAAGAAACCCTGAAGAACTGAAGCCAAAATGAGCTCGTTTTCATCATCACCACCAGTGACAAAGAAATGCAAGTCTTGTACAAACTTGTATATAACGACATTATTCTCAATTAATGTGACCTCAGCTGCAGATAATAGTAAACAGCATATCAGTCATAACTGAATAATGAATCACAATAAACATAACTACAGATCAAGTCAAGAATTGGCAATGACAGCGCAATTTGTTATTAAGTCATGGCCCAACGCTACAGCTTAATTTCAAATGAGCATAAATACTTGATTCATAATAGAGGTTTTGAAGATATGCATGCATACTATGAAACTTCCAAAAAAAAAAAAAATCATATCACTTCATATAATGATTAGTTTCTGTCCATCAGTAAAAACCTCTGTGCTGCATACCTTCTGTTCGAGCATTTGTCTTCACGGTCTTATTGAACACTAACTTCTCAAAAGCTAATTTTGCATTGTTTGTTGGCCAGTCATCTGAATAGTACTTGACTGCTACACGCTTCCCTTCAGAATCTAGAAGAAGAATGTTCTTTACTGATGGACATAAGCCCTACATATGACAAGACACGCCAACCCAAGTTATAAAACATGTATCATTTCTCTGGTGAAGAAAGGGAAAGGAAACTCAAAAAACATTAAAAATATACGCTCTATTAATTCTTATATTTCAACGTTCAAAGGTGAAATATGGTATGACTATATGCAAACAACACAAACAAGCTCAATTCAGCTAGATGCAAGCCATCCCCATTCAACTAAAGTATAAGGTCAGGCGTCCAATTACCATTAACCAGCAAAATTTGGTATACCTCAACAGAAAATGGATCTGTTCTCTAGTGACAGCGTCCCTCACAAGAAGTTGCCAAGGGGTCATACTTAGAAAACGATAACTAAACAGTAACAGATCTAGAAATTGGAGACACCTTGGTTGAGTTTATTAGCCAACAATAAACATTCACACCCTAACTGCAATTCTATTAGTTGTGGAAGCGAATTTAATGGCTGTCAGAACTCAGAAGTGAGAAAAATAGTGTTCTAAACGGATCCCAAAGAGCAAGAAGAAGTTATCCCAGATTTAGACCAACTTCCCAAAAAAATTAAATAAACAAAAACTCAAGCATATTACAGATCCAACCAGTCGTTTTAGTCCACAACAAAAACACTATCAACAGAACATCGATAACATTAAAATCAAATCCCAGACTCAACAAATTTTTATAATTCCAAGATCCATTCTAATCAAATACTTCAACAGCAGATCCCTAGAGTTTGCTTTTTTTGCTAGACCTTTGTCAGAACTATCGAGTACTGTTCAGCTACTGCATTGCGATTTGTGTTCAGAGCAAGATTACTGCTATGAAAATACTCGGAAAGATGGGATGCAGAAGTTAGAAGACCCAAGAGAGACTTACCTGAGACGCCATTTCTGAGGAGAGAAGAGGAGAGGAGTCGCAGAAGCTTGGACTGCGCAGATCTGTGATCGGGCGGAATTGAGGACAGTTTCCTTCCCAAAAGTGAAGGACAATTTTGTAATTGGACGAAAGCAAGTAAATACTCGTCCGGTCCTAATTATAAGACCCAATTGACTTATTTGAGGAGATTAAGGAAGTAAGTTAAGTTGGTTATTTATAATAAATAAGTGTTGTCATTCCTAAAATATCCTTGCTAATTAAGTATATTGGCTAAAACTATCATTATTAGAAGGATTATCTTGGAAAAAAATGCATAAATATAAGAGAGAAAATGGATTGGGTCTTATAATTAGGATCAAATAAAAAGTCAAATTGGGTCTTATAATAAGGACCGGAGGAGTAAGATTTTAAAAAAAAAAAACGCAAAATCCCATGGCTTGTTGATGCGGGGAAAGGATTTATTCAGAAAGAAAAATATGAGCAAATCAAATTAGACATTTTCTAGAATCTCAAATGAACTGCATTATTTTTGGCCAATGAAGAAAGGAATTGCATTTTTTTTTTGCCAACCAAATGACTTAGGCTATAAATAATATAGCTGAAGAATAATGTTGCCCAAGTATCATCTTAGAAAGGGATTTCATTTTCATTAAATTAAAAAGATATTGTAATTTATTAAATTTTAACAACAAACATTTTAAATTGATTAAATACATAGATTCTACACATATTCAAAATCATGAATTCCAACTAGGCATGGTGAAAAATTATATCAAACTTTAAATGGGACAATTTTTAAAATTATATCCAACTTAATAGCTTATAATAGCATTAATAATAATAACAATAATAATAATCATCTTTATTGTTAGGGCACTACCTCAAAAAGCTTCTTGGGTAGATCACGTGGTTATGGAAGAGTTCTTGTTCCATTTGGGCTCAATTGCATTAATTTCCTTTCGTAAAGCCTTTCTTTCCTACTTGACCTTTTCTTTTCTTTTCTTTTCTTGGGCCTGATTCTTCTGCTTGACTAAAGTTTTGAAAACCACAACTGAGAGTTTTAGGACATAGTCATCCATGATATATTAATTTTACAATTCTATTATAAACTCAAACCTTTGAATTTAGGGGGATAAATCATTTTTTTTATCATTAACATATTATTTCACTAATAAAATATTTAAAAATATTTTTAAATATAAATATTCACTCATTCTAATTTTGTATAATAAACAACTTAAATATATACTTTTAAGTACGGAAATATAATATAACAAGGAATGATATTATATTTCTTTTGTGCAGATAATACTTTTAAAATTTTGAGCTATTTATCAATATTTTTTTAACTTCAAATCGTGTCTATATAACTATTTAAAGGGTCTTTGGCAAAAAAATAAAAAAAATAAAAGTATCACAGTTTATTCACCGAAAGGGGGTGGGGG